CCACGTGGGCGAGGATATTGGAAATTTAATCAAAGCCTATTGGATGATAAATTATTTTTAACTAGGACAAAGGACTTTATAACTGTTTTTTTCCCGACATAACATAAGTACAGCAAATCCCCTTATTGTATGGGATGCCTTTAAATGTGCCTTTAGAGGCCATGCAATTCAGAACTCATCTCGAAAACAAAAGCAATTTATGTCAAAAGAGTTTATACTAACAAAGGAAATAGAAGGTCTAACAGAACAGATAGACATAGAGGCTCAGAATAAATTAGAGGAAAAACAAAAAGAAATGGAGAAACTTATTCAAGAAAGATCAAGTGTAATATATTATAAAAAGAAAGCAAACTGGATGGAATATGGGGAAAAATGCACAAAATTCTTTTTTAATCTTCAGCATAGGAATGCTACCAAAAATAATTTACTGAAACTGGTTACAATTGACGGAGTCAACCATGATTCACCAAATTATATTTTGAAGGAGGAAACAAAGTACTTCAAGCATATGTTTTCGTTTCAGTCGCCTCCATCTCCTCTAACTGAAGCTAATTGTAGAGATTTTTTTCTATTGATAATGTAAAATTAACAGCCATACAGAAAGACTAATGTATATATATATATATATAGTAACCCTAGGTGTGAAATAGTAAATAATGGCTATTTCTCCGAAAGTTTTAAACTGTCAAGAGGAGTGAAACAAGGTTGTCCACTATCGGCTTATCTATTTATGTCACGCCCTGGCTCTGGGGACTCTGTTATGTTGAGCCAGGGTGTGTAGAGTCTATATTTTGTGTTTATGTTCAGGATCTAGTTCATTGTGTTTCTATGTTGGCCGGGGTGGTTCTCAATCAGAGGCAACGAGAATCAGCTGTTGCTTGTTGTCTCTGATTGGGAACCATACTTAGGCAGCCGTTTGGGCATTTGTGTTTGTGGGATCTTGTTCCGTGTATGGTTTGTGTATGTACCCAAGGACTTCACGTATCGTTTTGTTGTTTTTGTTCGTGTGGTGAATCTAAATAAAAGTATGTTCACTTATCACGCTGCGCATTGGTCCACTCCTTTCGACGAACGTTACAATTTATTATGGCCATCGAGATGTTAGCTATTAAAATCAGATCTAACAATAATATCAAGGGATTAGAAATCCAGGGCTTAAAAACAAAGGTGTCATTGTACGCTGATGATTCATGTTTTCTTTTAAATCCACAACTACAATCCCTCCACAGCCTCATAGAGGATCTAGATACATTTTCTAATCTCTCTGGATTACAACCAAATTTTGACAAATGTACTATATTACGTATTGGATCACTACAATTTTTACATTACCATGTAGTTTACCAATAAAATGGTCTGATGGTGATGTGGATATACTCGGAATATATATCCCAAAGGAAATAAATGATCTCACTCCAATAAAGAATGTCAGACCATCCATCTGTGAGCTGAAGCTGAAGCGCAGCTGGGTCATGCAGCAAGACAATTATCCAAAACACACAATCGAGTCTACATGAACATTTCTAAAAAGCAACAAATTGGAAGTTTTGGAATGGCCTAATCAAAGTCCAGACCTAATCCCAATGGAGATGTTGTGGCAGGACTTGAAACGAGCAGTTCATGCTTGAAAACCCACACGTCACTGAGTTAAAGCAGTTCTGCATGGAAGAGTGGGCCAAAATTCCTCCACAGCGACGTGAGAGACTGATCAACAACTACAGGAAGCATTTGGTTGGAGTCATTGCAGCTAAAAGTGGCACAACAAGTTACTGAGTGTAAGGGGGGAATTACTTTTTCACACAGGGGAATTGGGCGTTGCATAACTTTGTTTATGAAATAAATATGTAATTGTTCTGTTATTTATTCACTTATGTTCCCTTTATCTAATATTAGGTTTTGGTTGAAAATCTGATAACATTCAGTGTTACAGATATGCAAAAGTAGAGAAAATTAGGGGGGGCAAATACTTTTTCATAGCACTGTATATATATATATATATATATATATATATATATATATATATATATATATATATATATATATATATATATATTAGGGGTGTAACGATCCATCTACTACATCGATGTATCGATTTATATTCATATGATCCAACTACATCGATCTGTGCTCGGCGAGTTGGCCTTTTGGACAACATATATCGATCTAACATCGTTTTAAAATGTAATAAATCGATTGTATCGATACTAGGAAATAACCCATTGGATTTAAGCACGTCAGACTTTATATGCAGGGGTGCACATTACTGGTACGCAGATACGCAAGCGCGACAAAAATCAGGAATGCGTAATGCCACTTGTGTTACTACGCGCCTTTGCGTACTTGACCGATCTTCTCATCTAACCTTACACATGACATGTTGCTTGTCAACTACTGTCAGGGATGTCCAAAAAGCAACAGACATTAAGCAGCTTCTTTGGCGTTTCGCCACCTACAAAGAAACGCCAACTGGAGCCAGAGCCGAAGAAAATACATTTTTCGGAAAAGTGGCTCCAAGATGTGCAGTGGCTTGAAGCTAACGATGAGCGCACTGAAATGTGGTGCAAGATTTGCCGCTCAAATCCACATCTAGCAGACAAAACAGGTGCATTTTATAAAGGCTCAAAGAATTTCAACCATCCTTTATTTGACAAACATGAAAAGAGCAAGGAGCACACGAATGTGGCGCAAGCCATTGCTAAAAGCTAGCCGAGAATAAATGTCCAGTCGCCCACTTGCCAGATGGTGAGACAAGCTGAATGAAGAACAGCGGCAAGCTCTGTTTAATATTTTTCTCTTTCCATAAAGCTAAACACGCACGTCCCATGTCTTCCTATTCTGAGGATGTTCCTTTACTGAAGCGGCTAGGAGTAAATGTCGGAGGTGCATATCATTCACGTGAAGGGGGCACACGGATCATGCAGAGCATCGCTCTCACCATCAGCGGGGAGTTACGAGCCAAGTTGCAGTCTGCTGAATTTTGGGGGCTGCTTTTTGATGGATCTGAGGACATCACAAAAACTGAGCAGGAAATAGTTTACATTGTGTCTGTGTCCAGCAACGGAGAGTTTACTTCAGACTTTATTGGACTGATTGAATTGGGTGCTGACCGAACCGCACAGGCCATAACAGACGGACTTGTGAGACTTTTCCAGGACACAGGCTTGGATGACTGGACAACAAAGTTGGTCGCTGTGTGCACAGACGGGGCTGCTGTCAACGTAGGTATCTACAACGGCGTTGTGCCAAAACTCCGGCAACATGCTGCGGTTGGAGACTCCCTTGTGCACATTCTGTGCACCGCACACACACTGGAGAATTGCGCGAAATCAGCTGATCGCAACGTTCCTTACTGTGAGACATTTCATCGCTCTGTGGTCAAGCTGCTGCAGTTTTATTTACAAAAAGGTGGAGCAAAAAAAACTGCTGCACTGAATAAAGCTATGTGAAGAAAATGGGATCTCCTTTGTGGAACTGGGTAAGTTTAATAATACCAGATGGTCTGCATGGATGCATGAAACACTTAAAAATATCAAGACTATTGCCAGCCATTAAAATGCAACTGGTTACCAGGTATTTATTTCAGTCACACTGGTTGAATTTTTGGCTAAAAGGTTACTGAATCGATTTCAAGTCACTGAATCGTTTCGGATCGTATCGTTCTAAATGAACCAATATCGTCCTTGAATCGTATCGACAACCACGAATCGTGATACAAATCGAATCGTTGTTAAAACGAATCGTTACACCCCTAATATATATATATATATATATATATATATATATATATATATATATATATATATATATATATATATATATATATATATAAAACATGGGGGATTGGAAGTGATGCAGACAATTATATTGATGGAAGTTACAATCTATCTGCAATATTAAGCAGATCTACGCCGTAAAACAAAAAACAAAACAAAAAGAATAAGTTCATTAGAGTTAACTGCACCTCAGAAATTGCAGCCCAAATAAATGCTTCACAGAGTTCAAGTAACAGACATCAACATCTACTGTTCAGAGGGGACTGTGTGAATCAGGCCTTCATGGTCGAATTGTTGCAAAGAAACCACTACTAAATGACACCAATAAGAAGAGACCTGCTTGGGCCAAGAAAAGCAATGGACATTATACCGGTGGAAATCTGTCCTGTGGTCTGATGAGTCCAAATTGGAGATTTTTGGTTCCAACCGCTGTGTCTTTGTGAGACACAGAGTAGGTGAACGGATGATCTCCGCATGTGTGGTTCCCACCGTGAAGCATGGAGGAGGAGGTGTGATGGTGTGGGGGTTCTTTGCTGGTGACACTGTCTGTGATATATTTAGAATTCAAGGCACACTTAACCAGCATGGCTACCACAGCATTCTGCAGCGATACACCATCCCATCTGGTTTGCGCTTAGTGGGACTATCATTTGTTTTTCAACAGGACAATCACCCAACACACCTCCAGGCTGTGTAAGGGATATTTGACCAAGAAGGAGAGTGATGGAGTGCTGCATCAGATGACCTGGCCTCCACAATCCCCCGACCTCAACCCAATTTAGATGGTTTGGGATGAGTCGGACCGCAGAGTGAAGGAAAATCAGCCAACAAGTGCTCAGCATATGTGGGAACTCCTTCAAGACTGTTTGAAAAGCATTCCAGGTGAAGCTAGTTGAGGGAATGCCAAGAGTGTGCAAAGCTGTCATTTAATAATTTTAAATGTATTTAAATCAAGGCAAAGGGTGGCTACTTTGAAGAATCTAAAATATATTTTGATTTGTTTAACACTTTTTTGGTTACTACATGATTCCATGTGTTATTTCATAGTTTTGATGTCTTCACTGTTATTCTACAATGTAGAAAATAGTAAAAATAAAGAAAACCCTTGAATGAGTAGATGTTCTAAAACTTTTGACTGGTACTGTACATACACCTAAATCAGGAGCATATGGGTTTCCATACTCAGAGATTCAAAGGGCATTGGGTCCCAATGGGTTTCCCTCCCTCCCCACAGTAGAGCAGCTCAGTTGGGGGTAACACCTCCAGACTCAGGTCACAGGCTGGAGGCCTGGGTCTGCTGCGGTAGCTGTGTATGGTGAGCTGTGTCGGGGGGCTCTGGCTCACAGTTTGTGGGCCCCTCTTCCACTCCCCGTGCGTACAGCAGCACCAGCGTGACGGTGGCGAAGGTGGCAGCGTTGACGGGAAATGCCCTGAGCAGGGTGGAGGTGAGACCTCGTGTGAACACTCTGAGCCCCTCCCTTCTCACACTCTGCCGCACGCAGTCAGCGATGCTGCTGTACTGGTAGACTCCGCCCATCCCGTCCGCCTGGAGGCGGGACTTAATCACGTCCACAGGATAGGTGGACAGCCAGCAGGTGACCCCGGACATCCCGCCGGCAAATAGCAGCTTGGGGATCATGTAAGGTTCGCCGGGCTCGCAGCCAATGGAGCGGGTCAGAAAGTCGTAGGTCAGGAAGTAGACTCCAAAGCAGGGGGTCTCTCGGATCAGCGTGGTGACCATGCCGCGGTTCACCCCCAGCAGCCCCTCCCACTTGTAGATACTGGCCAGGCAGTCCAGGGAGTTCTTGTACAGCTTCCTCTTGGACTTCTTCTCCCCAGTGCCTTAGTAACACAGTAGAACTATAAATACTAGTGATGGGAACCAATATGGAAAGGTTGACTTTTGGAGAAACATGAAATAGGTGGCCATACATGTTTTTAAAACGTTTTAATGAAGTTAATGCCATTGGTGAACCCATTAAACTGATGCTATAGACAGGTGGGTTGACAACATCACCAAAATGATGCGTGCGCATCGCAGAGGCAAAAGGCAGTGTGTTGTTATGATTCTGAACGATCAGATAGCTAGCAACAATGACAAGAAGTGGCCATGTGGAGAATTGTAGGTGGCATGTTTCAGCTAGTTGTATCTTGTTCTTGATACCATGTCTTGTTTTTAGGTGTTTTTACTTATGTCACATCAATGCTAATATGGAAAAAAATGTGCTAGCTAGCTAACCAACACCTGTAACTATCTACTAGAGAAAAAACTAGTGCGTATTGTTTTATAGTTTACAATATAGGTTACATGTTGTTAATAATCCTTTGATTCTAAGGCAACCCCCTCTGTTTTGCCCCAAAGTTGTGCACGTATCGGTTTTGTTGCTGAACAACACATCAGTCTATGGTACACGTTTTCCAACAGTGTAGGGGCAGTGCACAGAGTACATTATGCTAGCTAGCTCAGATAAGCTAAAATGACATAAAAGTGTGCCCGCTAGCTACAAACGTTTGCTAACTAGAACACAAACATCTGCACAAACATCAACTACACAGAATGCGCTTCTTAGAAACTATTATTTGCTAAGGAGGTAGGTAAGTGGCTAGCTTGATATGGCAGAGTACAATCCACAAATTGTTTAACTTGCTGGCTAGTTAGCTAGCTTGGCTTGTTAGCTAGGTTGCTCCACCACCAAATACTGAGGAAACCAATGAATGTGTATGTATGGAACATGGAACACTTTTGCCCAGTAAAGTATTCTTGCAAGTGTTGACAACAGTTTTTGTTATATTAAAGTAACAAATTCCTCATCAAATCATGATATGGCACACTCCTAAGGCAGTGTTGCATGCTTGCAATAACGGTGTAGTTTTTACAAAAAACAATATCACAACGTACCTCACTCAAATCAATATCATATCGAATTATCAACATTGATCCCCAAGGTTGTCAAAACATTTCTAATACTTGTTCATGACTTTCCTGATAACATATAGCAACTTCAATTGAAATACGCATGTGCATTTATTACCTGCATGGGTATACGAGGACATCTAGTGGTCAGATGACCTGGTTTATACTGCACCATGACACGTGTAAAGAAGAGCACCATTTTCTAATTCAGACCATTTTAAGCAGTTGGAGAGAATAGTTGTTATCTCCACTCCTTTCCTAGTATTAAAATGGTGCTTTCAAGACAACTGGGAACTCAGAAAAAAAACAAATTATGGCGTCAGTGATAATACCTCCAGGTCGGAACGTCGGAGCTCTAGAAAGATGCCAGTGTTTCCGGCTTGGAATTCCGATTTGGATGAGCGTTCAAAACTATTTTTCCCTGTCGGAGTTCCCAGTTGTCTTGAACGCACTGAAGTCTGAGATTTCCGAGTTCCTACTTGTTTTGAACGCAGCATTAAAAGCCAATTATTTTGAAAATGTATGCACTCACTAACTGTAAGTCGCTCTGGATAAGAGCGTCTGCTAAATAACTAAAATGTAAATGTAAATCCCTACCTTGCATCTGCATGCGTGTCTTGGCCAGCTCCATTGGGCAACAGATGACACACTGGATGGCTCCGGCTGCGGCCCCGGCCAGGAACTGGTTCATAGGGGTGTCATGGCCCAGGTAACGCATAGCGTTGCCCTGCACTCCAAACACTATGGCGTTGATGAAGGTTAGGCCCATCATGGGGGAGCCGATGCCTTTGTACAGCCCAAACATCTGGAGGGTGAAGGAGGGAAAGATTGGTCAGGTAAAGAGAGACAGAAAAGGAGAAGGGCAGAGATTTCAAAAATGATATATTTCAGGCTATGGACTCGTGTGAAGCATGAAAAGAGGGAGCCACATACACTACCAGTCAAAAGTTTGGACACACCTACTCATTCAAGGGTTTTTCTTAATTTTTACTATTTTTTACATTGTAGAATAATAGTGAAGACATCAAAACTATGAAATAACACATATGTAATCATGTAGTAACCAAAAGTGTTAAACAAATCAAAATATTTTATATTTGAGATTCTTCAAATAATATAATAATAATAATAATAATAATAATAATAATAATAATAATATGCCATTTAGCAGACGCTTTTATCCAAAGCGACTTACAGTCATGTGTGCATACATTTTTACATATGGGTGGTCCCGGGGATCGAACCCACTACCCTGGCGTTACAAGCGCCGTGCTCTACCAATTGAGCTACAAAGGACCACAATAATGTTATGGCAGGGTCCATAATGGATATGTAGTCTTTTTAATCTTTCATACACAGTATAATTGGTCTACATCCTGTTCTGTGCTATTGCAAAAGAAAAAAAGTAACTTCAGTTCCTATACAGTGGCATGCGAAATGCATTTTTCCTATTTGTTGCCTTACAACCTGGAATTAAAATATCATTTGATTTACATACCACTTTGAAGATGCAAAATGTTTTTTATTTGAAACAAACAAGAAATAAGACCCAAAAAAAGAAAACGTGAGTGTGCATAACTATTCACCCACCCAAAGTCAATTATTTGTAGCAATTACAGCTGCAAGTCTCTTAGAGTATGTCTCTATAAGCTTAGCACATCTAGCCACTGGGATCTTTGCCCATTCTTCAAGGCAAAACTAATCCAGCTCCTTCAAGTTGGATGGGTTCCGCTGGTGTATAGCAATCTTTAAGTCATACCACATATTCTCAACTGGATTGAGGTCTGCGCTTTGAGATTTCAATGTTTCCCTTTAAACCAATCGAGTGTTGCTTTAGCAGTATGCTTAGGGTCATTGTCCTGCTGGAAGGTGAACTTCCGTCCCAGTCTCAAATCTCAGGATACCTGAAACAGGTTTCCCTCAAGAATTTCCCTGTATTTAGTGCCATGCATCATTCCTTCCATTCTGACCAGTTTCCCATCCCCACAGCATGATGCTGCCACCACCATGCTTCACTGTGGGGATGGTGTTCTCGGGGTGATGAGAGGTGTTGGGTTTGCACCAGACATAGTGTTTTCATGATGGCCAAAAAGCTCAATTTTTGTCTAATCTGACCAGAGTACATTGTTCCATTGTTGTTTGGGGAGTCTCCCACATGCCTTTTGGCGAACACCAAAACGTGTTTGCTTATTGTTTTCTTTAAGCAATGGTTTTTTTTCAGGCCACTCTTCCGTAAAGCCCAGCTCTGTGGAGTGTATCGCTTAAAGTGGTCCTATGGACAGATACATCAATCTCCGCTGTGGAGCTTTGCAGCTCCTTCAGGGTTATCTTTGGTCTCCTTGTTGCCTCTCTGATCAATGCCCTCCTTGCCAGGTCTGTGGGTTTTTGATGGCCAGCCCTCTCTTGACAGGTTTGTTGGGGGTGCCATATTCTTTCCATTTTTTAATAATGGATTTAATGGTGCTCCGTGGGATGTTCAAAGTTTCTGATATTTTTATAACCCAAAACTGATCTGTACTTCTCCACAACTTTGTCCCTGACCTGTTTGGAGAGCTCCTTGGTCTTCATGGTGCCGCTTGCTTGGTGGTGCCCCTTCCTTAGTGGTGTTGCGGACTGGGGTCTTTCAGAACAGGTGTATATATACTGAGATCATGTGACACTTAGATTGCACACAGGTGAACTGTATTTAACTAATTATGTGACTTCTGAAGGTAATTGGTTGCACCAGATCTTATTTAGGGGCTTTATAGCAAAGGGGGTGAATACATATGCACCACACCGCTTTCCGTTATTTATTTGTTCAAATTTTTTGAAACAAGTTATTTTTTCATTTCACTTCACCAATTTGGACTATTTTGTGTATGTCCATTACATGAAATCCAAATAAAAATCAATTTAAATGACTGGTTGTAATGCAACAAAATAGGAAAAACGCCAAGGTCGATGAATACTTTTGCAAGGCACTGTACAGTGTTCTAATGATGTGCAAATAGTTTAAAAATATGCCACCCTTTGCCTTGATGACAGCTTTGCACACTCTTGGTATTCTCTCAACTACCTTCATGAGGTAGTCACCTGGAATGCATTTCAATTAACAGGTGTGCCTTCTTAAAAGTTAATTTGTGGAATTTCTTTCCTTCTTAATGCGTTTGAGCCAATCAGTTGTGTTGTGACAAGGTAGGGGTGGTATACAGAAGATAGCCCTATTTGGTAAAAGACCAAGTCCATATTATGTCAAGAACAGCTTCAATAAGCAGAGAGAAACGACAGTCCATCATTACTTTAAGACATGAAGGTCAGTCAGTACGGAATATTTCAAGATCTTTGAAAGTGCAGTCGCAAAAACCATCAAGCGCTATGATGAAACGGGCTCTCATGAGGACCGCCACAGGAATGGAAGACCCAGATTTACCTCTGCTGCAGAGGATAAGTTCATTAGAGTTACCAGCCTCAGAAATTGCATCCCAAATAAATTATTCAATTTATTTGGGAGTGACAGACACATCTCAACATCAACTGTTCAGATGGGACTGTGTGAATTAGGCTGCATGGTTGAAATGCTGCAAATAAACCACCACTAAAGGACACCAATAACATGAAGAGACCTGCTTGGGCCAAGAAACACGAGCAATGGACATTAGACCGATGGAAATGTGTCCTTTGGTCTGGAGTCCAAATTTGAGATTTTTGGTTCCAACCGCCGTGTCTTTGTGAGACGCGGTGTGGGTGAACGGATGATCTCTGCATGTGTAGTTCCCACCGTAAAACATGGAGGAGGAGGTGTTATGGTGTGGGGGTTCTTTGCTGGTGACACTGTCTGTGATTTATTTAGAATTCAAGGCACACTTAACCAGCATGGCTACCACAGCATTCTGCAGCGATACACCATCCCATCTGGTTTGGGCTTGTGGGACTATCATTTGTTTTTCAACAGGACAATGACCCAACACACCTCCAGGCTGTGTAAGGGCTATTTGTCCAAGAAGGAGAGTGATGGAGTGCTGCATCAGATGACCTGGGCTCCACAATCCCCCGACCTCATCCCAATGTAGATGGTTTGGGATGAGTCAGACGGCAGAGTGAAGGAAAAGCCGCCAAACAAGTGCTCAGCATATGTGGGAACGCCGTAAAGACTGTTGGAAAAGCATTCCAGATGAAGCTGGTTGAGAGAATGCCAGAGTGTGCAAAGCTGTCATTTACATTTACATTTTAGTCATTTAGCAGACGCTCTTATCCAGAGCGACTTACAGTTAGTGAATACATTTTTTTTTTATACTGGCCCCCCGTGGGAATCAAACCCACAACCCTGGTGTTGCAAACACCATGCTCTATCAACTGAGCTACATCCCTGCCGGCCATTCCCTCCCCTACCCTGGACAACGCTGGGCCAATTGTGCGCCGCCCATGAGTCTCCCGGTCGCGGCCTGTCCAAGGCAAAGGGTGGCTATTTGAAGAATCTCAAATATAAAATATATTTTGATTTGCTTAACACATGATTCCATATGTGTTATTACATAGTTTTGATATCTTCACTATTATTCTATAATGTAGAAAATAGTAAAATTAAGAAAAACCATTGAATGTGTAGGTGTGTCCAAACTTTTGACTGGTACTGTAATTCTAACTCAATGCATGTTGTAGAATTCATTTATAAACTTGTTAAAACCCTTATAAGGCATCGATTAACAGAACACAAACCAAAATACGTATTCCGCAGCCCATATTTACTACAGGGCTCTACGTTGACCTTTTTTTACAAGGAGCATGTGTGCGCCTAATTGAAAAACGCACACACAGAAATTTAGGATCACAATTAAAAATAGTTTGAGTTAATAAAGCTGAAAGCCTTAATTTTTTCTAGGCACACCTAGGGCTCTTAAATAAAAAGTGCTCTTGTAAATCTGGAACTCCTCGAGAATTTCCCGGTTGCACAGTACAGCAACTATATGTTAAGCGCATTTGCAAGTAAAATGGTCGCACTGTAGAGCTCTGTGCTACTGCCTCTCTCTCCCCTCCTGGACTCTGTGAGTATTCTAGTCTGACACAGACAGGTCCAGGATCAGCGCTTAGGACAAATGACCTCATTAATACCACATCAAAAGCCAAAACAACAGCTTTTGGCCAAGAGACCAAATGAGCCGTAACCTCTGGAAATAACTGCATGCTATCTCCATTTGCATTTCCATCCCACAGCATGATGCTGCCACACCATGCTCACTGTGGGATGTGTTCTCGGGGTGATGAGAGGTGTTGGGTTTGCACCAGACATAGTGTTTTCATGATGGCCAAAAAGCTCAATTTTTGTCTAATCTGACCAGAGTACATTGTTCCATTGTTGTTTGGGGAGTCTCCCACATGCCTTTTGGCGAACACCAAACGTGTTTGCTTATTGTTTTCTTTAAGCAATGGTTTTTTTCAGGCCACTCTTCCGTAAAGCCCAGCTCTGTGGAGTGTATCGCTTAAAGTGGTCCTATGGACAGATACATCAATCTCCGCTGTGGAGCTTTGCAGCTCCTTCAGGGTTATCTTTGGTCTCCTTGTTGCCTCTCTGATCAATGCCCTCCTTGCCAGGTCTGTGGGTTTTGATGGCCAGCCCTCTCTTGACAGGTTTGTTGGGGTGCCATATTCTTTCCATTTTTTAATAATGGATTTAATGGTGCTCCGTGGGATGTTCAAAGTTTCTGATATTTTTATAACCCAAAACTGATCTGTACTTCTCCACAACTTTGTCCCTGACCTGTTTGGAGAGCTCCTTGGTCTTCATGGTGCCGCTTGCTTGGTGGTGCCCCTTCCTTAGTGGTGTTGCGGACTGGGGTCTTTCAGAACAGGTGTATATATACTGAGATCATGTGACACTTAGATTGCACACAGGTGAACTGTATTTAACTAATTATGTGACTTCTGAAGGTAATTGGTTGCACCAGATCTTATTTAGGGGCTTTATAGCAAAGGGGGTGAATACATATGCACACACCGCTTTCCGTTATTTATTTGTTCAAATTTTTTGAAACAAGTTATTTTTTCATTTCACTTCACCAATTTGGACTATTTTGTGTATGTCCATTACATGAAATCCAAATAAAAATCAATTTAAATGACTGGTTGTAATGCAACAAAATAGGAAAAACGCCAAGGTCGATGAATACTTTTGCAAGGCACTGTACAGTGTTCTAATGATGTGCAAATAGTTAAAAATATGCCACCCTTTGCCTTGATGACAGCTTTGCACACTCTTGGTATTCTCTCAACTACCTTCATGAGGTAGTCACCTGGAATGCATTTCAATTAACAGGTGTGCCTTCTTAAAAGTTAATTTGTGGAATTTCTTTCCTTCTTAATGCGTTTGAGCCAATCAGTTGGTAGGGGTGGTGTACAGAAGATAGCCCTATTTGGTAAAAGACCAAGTCCATATTATGTCAAGAACAGCTCCAATAAGCAAAGAGAAACGACAGTCCATCATTACTTTAAGACATGAAGATCAGTCAGTACGGAATATTTCAAAGACTTTGAAAGTGCAGTCGCAAAAACCATCAAGCGCTATGATGAAACGGGCTCTCATGAGGACCGCCACAGGAATGGAAGACCCAGATTTACCTCTGCTGCAGAGGATAAATTCATTAGAGTTACCAGCCTCAGAAATTGCATCCCAAATAAATTATTCACAGAGTTCAAGTGACAGACACATCTCAACATCAACTGTTCAGATGGGACTGTGTGAATTAGGCTGCATGGTTGAAATGCTGCAAATAAACCACCACTAAAGGACACCAATAAGATGAAGAGACCTGCTTGGGCCAAGAAACACAAGCAATGGACATTAGACAGATGGAAATTTGTCCTTTGGTCTGGAGTCCAAATTTGTGGTTCCAACCGCCGTGTCTTTGTGAGACGCGGTGTGGGTGAACGGATGATCTCTGCATGTGTAGTTCCCACTGTAAAACATGGAGGAGGAGGTGTTATGGTGTGGGGGTTCTTTGCTGGTGACACTGTCTGTGATATATTTAGAATTTAAGGCACACTTAACCAGCATGGCTACCACAGCATTCTGCAGCGATACACCATCCCATCTGGTTTGGGCTTGTGGGACTATCATTTGTTTTTCAACAGGACAATGACCCAACACACCTCCAGGCTGTGTAAGGGCTATTTGTCCAAGAAGGAGAGTGATGGAGTGCTGCATCAGATGACCTGGCCTCCACAATCCCCCGACCTCAACCCAATTTAGATGGTTTGGGATGAGTCAGACGGCAGAGTGAAGGAAAAGCCGCCAAACAAGTGCTCAGCATATGTGGGAACTCCGTCAAGACTGTTGGAAAAGCATTCCAGATTAAGCTGGTTGAGAGAATGCCAGAGCGTGCAAAGCTGTCATCAAGGCAAAGGGTGGCTATTTGAAGAATCTCAAATATAAAATATATTTTGATTTGCTTAACACATGATTCCATATGTGTTATTACATAGTTTTGATATCTTCACTATTATTCTATAATGTAGAAAATAGTAAAAATAAAGAAAAACCATTGAATGTGTAGGTGTGTCCAAACTTTTGACTGGTACTGTAATTCTAACTAATGCATGTTGTAGAATTCATTTATAAACTTGTTAAAACCCTTATAAGGCATCGATTAACAGAACACAAACCAAAATACGTATTCCGCAGCCCATATTTACTACAGGGCTCTACGCTGACCTTTCTTACAAGGAGCATGTGTGCGCCTAAGTTGAAAAACGCACACAAAGAAATTTAGGAGCACAATTAAAAATATTTGAGGTAATAAAGCTAGAATCCTTCATTTTTCTAGGCACACTAGTGCTCTTAAATAAAAAGTGCTCTTGAATAAAAATTCCAGGTTGCACAGCAAAATATTTTAGCGCATTTGCAAGTAAAATGGTCGCACTGTAGAGCTCTGTGCTACTGCCTCTCCTCTCCCACCTCCATGGACTCTGTGAGTATTCTAGCAGTCCCATAACATCAGTCACAAGACAAGACAGGTGAGGTCGTCTGACACAGACAGGTCCAGGATCAGCGCTTAGGACAAACTGACCTCATTAATACCACATCAAAAGCCAAAACAACAGCTTTTGGCCAAGAGACCAAATGAGCCGTAACCTCTGGAAATAACTCAAGCAGAGCAGACCTCAATGTGGTTGTGTTGATGGGAGACTGGCCAGAGTGTTTTAAAACAAATCTGAAGCCTATAGGACTATAATATACCAAACATGACAACTTAACATGAGCTAATCACCTGTTTAAATTTCAATTGGAGACGCAGCTTCCACTAAATTATAAAGATTTAGGTAGGACTTACCGACTCCTGCCGTACAATGGACTGGAAACAGTGGTAGGTCCCGCGGTAGAGAGGCTTGTCCACATTCTGGACCTGGAGTCTCACCTGCAACACAGACACAGGTCAAGGTCAAAAGTCAAATATAACCTGGACGGCCAATCAGCATCCCTCCTTAACGAACCAACACTTCCTGACAACAGTATTACAACATAGGAACAAAAATGAGGGAATACAGAATAGCTTACCATTACACAAAACTATACACTACATTACCAAAAGTATGTGGACACCTGCTCGTTGAACATCTCATTCCAAAATCATGTGCATTAATATTGAGTTGGTCCCCCCTTTGCTGCTATAACATCCTCCACTCTTCTGGGAAGGCTTTCCACTAGATGTTGGAACATTGCAGCGGGGACTTGCTTCCATTCAGCCACAAGAGCATTAGTGAGGCAAGGCACTGATGTTGGGTGACTAGGCCTGGCTCACAGTTGCCGTTCAAATTCATCCCAAAGGTGTTCGATGGGGTTGAAGTCAGGGCTCTGTGCAGGCCAGTCAAGTTCTTCCATACCGATCTCAAAAAACAATTTCTGTATGGACCTCGCTTTGTGCACGGGGGCATTGTCATGCTGAAACAGGAAAAGGCCTTCCCCAAACTGTTGCCACAAAGTTGGAAGCACAGAATCATCTAGAATGTCACTGTATGCTGTAGTGTTAAGATCTCCCTTCACTGGAACTAAGGGGCCTAGCCCGAACCATGAAAAACAGCCCCAGAACATTATTCCTCCTCCACCAAACTTTACAGTTGGCACTATCCATTGGGGCAGGTAGCGTTCTCCTGGCATCCACCAAACCCACATTCGTCCATCGGACTGCCAGATGGTGAAGCGTGATTCATCACTCCAGAGAACGCGTTTCCACTGCTCCAGAGTCCAATGGCGGCGAGCATTACACCACTCCAGCCGAAGCTTGGACATTGCGTATGGTGATCTTAGGCTTGTGTGCAGCTGCTCGGCCATGGAAACCCATTTCATGAAGTTCCCAACGAACAGTTATTGTGCTGACGTTGCTTCCAGAGTCATTTTGGAACTCAGTAGTGAGTGTTTGCAACCCAGGACAGACGATTTTTACACGCTACTCGCTTCAGCGGTCCCATTCTGTGAGCTTGTGTGGCCTACCACTTCGCGGCTAAGCCGTTGTTGTTTCTAGACGTTTCCACTTCACAATAACAGTACTTACAGTTGACCGGGGCAGCTCTAGCAGGGCAGAAATTTGACAAACTGACTTGTTGGAAAGATGTCATCCTATGATGGTTCCAAGTTGAAAGAAACTGAGCCCTTCAGTAATGCCATTCTACTGCCAATGTTTGTCTATGGAGATTGCATGGTGGTGTGCTCGATTTTATACACCTGTCAGCAACAGGTGTGGCTGAAATAGCCGAATCCACTAATTTGAAGTGGTGTCCCCATACTTTTGTATATGTATATATATATATATATAGTGTATGTACTGCAATGAAGTGTACAAACATGATTTTTCTGACACGACTTGGTGAACTCAGACATAAAAAAGTTGATAGGGGATGAGGAAGGGTCCTATTCTTGTTGTGGTTGAACAAAAACAAGACAGTCAAAGTGTCACAGAGAGAGACGGGTGGATGGATTGACCTTTGCTGTACTTACTACATTGTACTGTTGTGAAGTATCTACTAACACAGTAAGACCTTTTCTGTGAAACGAAGAAAGTCCCTGTTACAGTCATTAGACCTATGCAAGCAGGATGTGTACAAAATCAGCACCATACATACAAAATAGCATCTGTTATAGTGTGGAGAATACGGTCCTCAATGTACCTTACCATACTGTATTGCTGCTTTTTATGGTTGTTTGAGACAAGCAGCAACTGTTGAACTTAGTGACTGCAAGCTTTATTTTCATATAATAGAAAGAAACAGGCCAAAACAAGAACAACCAGACTCACCTTAACCGTGTCAAAAGGGTGTCCTACTAAGACTCCGGCAGCACCTAAGGAGAAGAATGAGAGAGCAGTTAGACAGGATAGGCTACGCTACACTTAACTGAGAGCAGATTGTTTAATGTTTTTTCCAAGTAAAAATGACTGTAGCCTATGTGATACACAGATAGTTTGAGAAGTTGTACTCTGGTAGAAAAAAACGTCAATCCATTTTTGCAAGCTTTATAGCAACCGACAATTGTTTTTAAGTAAACAAAATAAATAGCCGTGTCTGCTTTTCAGATCACAACTTCAGAAATTGTAATCATACGCCTATTAATGTTGGCTCTCACCCCACAGAGGACATCACATCAGCCTGCCAAAATATAAGCTGTGATTCATCTGAGAAGGAAATGGAAACCCTGTAGCCATCAACAACAACCTGTAGCCTAACTACAGACAGACAGCAGACCTGGGTTCAAATACTATAAATCTTTCAAATAGTTGAAGCATTTGCTCCAGCCTGCCTTGAGTGCCAGGTGGGCTGGGTTTACAGTTTTGAGACTATTCTATTAGTCCATTAAGCCAGGCTGTTTCAATCAAACACCGGTAAAGTATTTGAAATGATTTCAAATAGTATTTAAATCCAAGTCTGACAGACAGTGACGCTACCTGGGTCTAGAAACCGCTGCCTCATATCTGGCAAGGCCACTGGGGAGAGACTGAGTCTCCTTCAGGAATAGCCTCTTCCAGACGACTGCTCTGGAAGGTACTGTACATAACATGTGTAAAGGGGTACCCTACCCTTGTAACGATGCCAGTTTGGGCCCTCTCACTACTGACTAGGTGTAACCTAATACAAGCCCTCTCCTCCACACACCCTGGCTCTGAATACAGAGTGAAACCTTGGCCCTGGGCCCAGACAGCAACTGTCCTGCTACAGGCCTTGATGTAGGCCTACATAGTTTGGCAGACTATACTCCACATTGGCACCAAATGTTCCAAAAACAACAACATTCTAGAATGTTGGAAAGTGTAGTGCACCAGCATGGCACCCATGAGAATGCTACAACCCAAACATAGTTTGCATAACTCTGTCTTTAGTCTGCCTGTGCCTCTCTGGGACTGGCTAGAAGAGCTAGGCTAATCCTTACTAAGCGCCTGCTGTGTCACAGTGAGAAGAGCCAATCAGAGCCGGCCTCCTTCTGTAAGCCAGTAAAAGAACAGCAGTAGGCATGTGCAAGGGTCAGTGCTATCTGGGATGCTTGGGACATCCCTACCCTAAATCCTTACCCTAACCCCTACCTTAACCCTTTAAATGTCCACTTCAGATGGGGTAGGAATGTCCCAAGGATCCCGGATAAGACGGGCCAATGTGCAAGGGGATAACAAGTCAACAAATAGTGACCTCAGAGAAACTACCACGATTACTTGCGTCCTTGGCAACCGGCAGGCAAAGGAAAATTATGGTCATATTTTACAATACCTTAGGTAGCTACAGCTACAGTGGAAAAAACGACCAGCAATTTGTAAAGTTTAGTTCTTTCTCTCTTTTCTTTCACTTTTTGTATCTATACTGAACAAAAATATAAACACAACAATTTCAACGATTTTACTGAGTTGCAGTTCACATAAGGAAATCAGTTAAATGAAATAAATTCATTAGGCCATAATCTATGGATTTCACATAGGCCCACCGACTGGGGAGCCAGGCCCAGTCAAACAGAATTAGCTTTTCCCCACAAAAGAGCTTTATAACAGACAGAAATACTCCTCAGTTTCATCAGCTGTCCGGGTGGCTGGTCTCTGATGATCCCGCAGGTGAAGAAGCTGGCTGTGGAGGTCCTGGGCTGGCGTGGTTACATGTGGTCTGAGGTTGTGATGCCGGTTGGACATTCTGCCAAATTTTCTAAAATGATGTTGGAGGCGGCTTATGGTAGAGAAATTAACATTCAATTCTCTGGCAACAGCTCTGGTGGACATTCCTGCAGTCAGCATGCCAATTGCACACTCCCTCAAAACTTGAGACATCTGTGGCATTGTGTTGTGTGACAAAACTGCACATTTTAGAGTGGCCTTTTATTGTCCCCAGCACAAGGTGCACCTGTGTAATGATCATGCTGTTTAATCATCTTCCTTGATATGCCACACCTGTCAGGTGACTGGATTATCTTGGCAAAGGAGAAATGCTCACTAACAGGGATGTAAACAAATTTGTGGCCAAAATTTCAGAGAAATATGTTTTTGTGCATATGGAACATTTCTGGGATCTTTTATTTCAGCTCATGAAACATGGGACCAAGACTTTACATGTTGCATTTATATTATGCAAAGGTGTCTGCCTGGTACAAGGTAACTACGCAAGTTATTCATTCCCCTATGGTCACCTTGGAATGATTGCTTTGAAAGCCTAATGCAACGTGTTGCCTGAAACTGCAGGAGTTTTCAGAGGAACTGATTCACAAATGCTCAAAAAGGCTTGGTTTGTCATCATTTACATTTTAGTCATTTAGCAGACGCTCTTATCCAGAGCAACTTACGGGAGCAATTAGGGTTAAGTGCCTTGCTTAAGGGCACATCGACAGATTTTTCACCTAGTCAGCTCGGGGATTCGAACCAGTGACCTTTCGGTTACTCGCCCAACGCTCTTAACCACTAAGCTACCTGCCGCCCACTTTTGGAGCATGCCACGTTGGCAGCAAAAGTTCCAACATAATTACATTCTAGTTGGAATACCAATTAGAATAGTATTGTTATGGAACATTTGGTGCCAACATGGAGGATAGCTTACACTCATATATGTTTATGGCTCAGCTCCAAATAGTGAGCCTAATAGGCTTACACTTCCATATAATACTAAAGTTGCCCTCTGAGTCGAGTAGGGCTTTTCACACCATTCCACTCACGTTGAGCATGTGGATCCCTCCCCTATGGGTTTACATGAACACCAAGCCCCTCCACAGCAGCAGGAGGGAGAGTGTGATTGGTCTGTGAAGGGGTGTGGGTGGATGCCTCTCCTTTTTACGGTAGAGCCATCTTAGGTTATCTGTTCCAGTCTGCAAACATGAAAATGTATGCACTCACTACTGTAAGTCGCTCTGGATAAGATCGTCTGCTAAATTACTAAAATGTCAAATGTAAATGTAATGCTACAGGACTACATGCTTTCCATTCTTCACAGGGCGTACAGAGGACATTAAGGAGGCTTGTGGGTGGCTGGAAAACACCTGTTGTAGGATTTCTAGACCATGTCCTAGTGAGAAGGAAGGAAGGAAGGAAGTCATTTGATCTTTCTCCTATGATAGCCACGTCATTGAATTTTGACAAGTAACTTTGTAAGCCTGTTAATTGACGTATAAATCATTGATTGATGGAGCAGTAACTGAAACCGCAGATGTATCACATGTCATAAATCATTTCACCAGGGAAGAAGTAGACCTTCAACTTTCAACAACATAAACTTGGCCTCCCTGGAGAGAAGGGCCACTCATCTACTTTAATATACAACCACCTATAAACAAATATAACCTAGAAGAATAGCACCAAGGTAACATTGGAGAATACTGGCATCAGATACCCAAATAAGGTCTAACCCTGAAATGTTGATGGTGGTTACCCATATCCCCAGATATCCAGCTTTTATGACACATAGGGCCTACTTTTTTCTGACACCAGATAGCAGACTCAATAACACTTGCACCAACCTGATTTACCAAATTGGCCTATATCTACATTGGAACAATGTCATGCTTACCAATTATTCACAGACTGTAGGCTACAGTATCTTATGGTGTCAAATTGTGTTTGTTATTCCTGTTATATGATGTTACAATCATAGCCGCGGGAAGATGTTTGGGGATGGGGGTGCTGCCATTTTTCTCAGCGCTACAGACTGCTGTATCGGTCTGATAATAAAGGACTAGTAAAGGCCCAGTGCACTACTTTTGTGAAAAAGTATAATAATAATACAAATGTATTAATATTGTATTAATATTCTCAGGGGGTGTTGCAGCACCCTCAGCACCCCTACTTCCAGCGGCTATGGTTACAATCACACATGGAGTCAGTTATTGGTTTTAATGCATTGTCTCAATAGTTACAGACAGGTACAATATGTCACGTGTTTCCCATTTCTATAGATATAATTTGGAAAATGAACCTTGCGTGCCCTGTCGACCCACTTGTGCCAAATATAAAAAATGCGGTTTAAATCACGGAATGGGATTGTATCACACAATATTGATGTACCTACCTAGTTAGCCGGGTGATGATGTGAATAAGGCAACAGCTGCACAATCTCAATGACATACATTGTGTCAATTTGTGTGAGCTATGTAAGAATTAATTTATCAAATTGGTTTCAGGACAATTATCTGTGTGTGTGGTGTGATGGTAGGTAGCCTATGACGATGGATGGGTGCGCTTGCCTTCCCTCATTGGCTTAGTGCAGCCAGTAGCTAGCTAAAGCTGCCTCCTGGGTTGATGTGTGTTTCAAATCAGACGTACCTCCAATGCAGCCAGCGAGAAAGTCCATCACCACTATTCAGTAGAAATTTGCGATTCAGTGTCAAATATCGGTTAATTATTGCTTTTTCTGAAGCCGATTCGTTTGACACCTACACAGTTTGATGAAACAACACACAGCTGAGCTAACCAGCTAACTAGCTACGTTGCTTGCCACCTAGCTAGCTGGCTAAAGTCTTCGTCTCCTAGCTAGGCTAATGTGCTTTCAACTTGCTAGCTAATATATCCTTGTTGCGATATCTGTGGTCGTTAGAATCACTGAGGTATGAATAGAGTAGCTACCACGACCTCCACGAACTGTCATAGCTAAGTGATTTTACGATCCCCTCTCTGCAGTAACCTCGACCCTGTGTCTGTCTGACCAACGTTTTGACAGATGACATTGGAGGCGTTTACTACCTGCTTCGGGTAAACATCGTATCCAATCACATTACAGTGCCGAAGGCGCCACCCCCCTTTTCGATCTTACCCCCAACGCTTATTGGTTGTGTATGAAAATAATCCCCCTTTCAAGGTTGTGTCAGCAATACGGTGTGATGTTTTTGGTCATTGATGAAACACCCCACAACCAACTCTCATTTTAATCATTATGGCAGATTTGACATAATATCGATTTTACATAGGGAATTATATAGATGTTTCTACGCATAAGCAAACGGACTGAAAAACATCTGGCTGCTTAAAGTTGCGATTGTTTACCATATCACGTATGCCACATTTAGACAAAATATAAACTATTCCTTATGTTATGGCTTAACTACCTACATTCAAGGTCACATGTGGACGAACATACCATGGAATAGCTACCACCTTTCAAACTTCTCGTTTCAATCTTCTTATCAATGACATTATGTTTTTCAGAACAGTTCTCACACTGGTTTTAGACACAAGTAGCCTTTATTGACTGGTAGCCCGCCTTTTATGCCTCTTTCTAAGATAGAAAGCTGAATTGTTTCTCAACGTGGCATTACTTCACTGAATATCTTTAGATATTTAGCCTTAAACAATTACTGGCTTTGTGCTAGAATAACATTAGCCTAGAGTGCATTTGTAAGGATAGTTCGTTTTTTATGTTGCATATGTTGTTATAGTCCTATTACATTTGGAATTATTTTTTCAAAAGCTTTGACAAAGCCATTCAGTGTCTGTTTCAGTGTGTCTTTGACACTTCATATACCGTCATTGCTTAGACACGATGACTGTTTTGAAGCGCAGGAACCTATCAATAGAAACTTCGGCATTATTCGGCTACACTCGGCTTCTCTGTTTCGTAACGCTCAACCGAGCATACACGTGGTATTTTGGTATGAAGGACGCAGAACGTCACATAAGTGGCTAGAATAGTCCTTCTATAACAGGGACAACATTTTATACAACGACACAATATCAGCGGAAGCATCAGAAAAATGCATTAATATCGTTTTCACGCAAGTTATTGTATTGTTGAAGAATGCATATCGCCGATTTCGTTGCAGGATCCATAGGAGGTACGTAACCTATTGCAATCGGGAGGCTGTGTAGCGTTATTTAAAAACAACGTAGCCTAATATGAATATTGGGTGTCCAAACCCTGAATAACAAGCTCATGGAAAAGATCATTCATAGAAATGTTGTGTGCGTCATCAATAATATTTGAAGGTTCATTCGTTATAGAAGTGTGTGACCCCACTTCTTTTGGGGGCTTTTGAGGTTATAGGGTAGCAGCCTCTGCATATATAGATATTCTATATAATTGTACAGGAGAATGTTGCCTGGAAACCCGACGTTGAATGGATTGAATTCTATGTTCGGCAGAAATTAGCATTTTAATCAGGAAAGTTTCCTTTCACGACCTCTACAAGCCAGAATGTTGAATACAATTATACTTTAAGGTACTTTACCTGTTGTCCATGTTCATGCTGTTGGTTCTTTTGGCAGTAGGAATGTGAGACAATATGTACACAGAACAGTTTAATTACATAAACTTTTCAAAGCACTGGTAGTGCCTTCAGATTTAGATACATATTTTTATTTTTATTTAACCATTATTTAACTAGGCAAGTCAGTTAAGAACAAATTCTTATTTACAATGAAGGCCTACCAAAAGGCAAAAGGCCTCCTGTGGGGGACGGGGCTGGGATTAAAAATAAATAAATAAATAAAATATAGGACAAAACACACATCATGACAAGAGAGACACCACAACACTACATAAAGAGAGACCTAAGACAACCACATAGCATGGCAGCAACACAACATGACAACAACATGGCAGCAACACAACATGGCAGCAGCACAACATGGTAGCGGCACAAAACATGGTACAAACATTATTGGGCACAGACAACAGCACAAAGGGCAAGAAAGTAGAGACAACAATACATCATGCGAAGCAGCCACAACTGTCAGTAAGAGTGTCCATGATTGAGTCTTTGAATGAAGAGATGGAGATAAAACTGTCCAGTTTGAGTGTTTTTGCAGCTCGTTCCAGTCGCTAGCTGCCGCGAACTGAAAATAATAATAATAATAATAATAATAATAATATAACATTTAGCAGACGCTTTTATCCAAAGCGACTTACAGTCATGCGTGCATACATTTTTTGTCTATGGGTGGTCCCGGGGATCGAACCCACTACCTTGGCGTTACAAGCGTTACAATCCAAAGAGGAGCGACCCATGGATGTGTGTGCTTTGGGGACCTTTAATGTGTCTGGCAGAACTAGTGTTGTATGTGGAGGATGAGTGCTGAGGTAGGTATCTCAGATAGGGGGGAGTGAGGCCTAAGAGGGTTTTATAAATAAGCTTCAACCAGTGGGTCTCGCGACGGGTATACAGAGATGACCAGTTTACAGAGGAGTATAGAGTGCAGTGATGTGTCCTATAAGGAGCATTGGTGGCAAATCTGATGGCCGAATGGTAAAGAACATCTAGCCACTCGAGAGCACCCTTACCTGCCGATCTATAAATTATGTCTCCGTAATCTAGCATGGGTAGGATGGTCATCTGAATCAGGGTTAGTTTGGCAGCTGGGGTGAAAGAGGAGCGATTATGATAGAGGAAACGAAGTCTAGATTGAAACTTAGCCTGCAGCTTTGATATGAGCTGAGAGAAGGACAGTGTACCGTCTAGCCATACTCCCAAGTACTTGTATAAGGTGACTTCCTCAAGCTCTAAACCCTCAGAGGTAGTAATCACACCGATGGGGAAAGGGGCATTCTTCTTGCCAAACCACATGACCTTTGTTTTGGAGGTGTTCAGAACAAGGTTAAGGGCAGAGAAAGCTTGTTGGACACTAAGAAAGCTTTGTTGTAGAGCGTTTCACACAAAATCCGGGGAGGGGCCAGCTGATTATAAGACAGTATCATCTGCATATAAATGGATGAGAGAGCTTCCTACTGCCTGAGCTATGTTGTTGATGTAAATTGAGAAGAGCGTGTGGCCTGGGATCGAGCCTTGGCGTACTCCCTTGGTGACAGGCAGTGGCTGAGACCGCAGATGTTCTGACTTTATACACTGCACTCTTTGACAGAGGTAGTTAGCAAACCAGGCCAAAGACCGCTCAGAGACACCAATACTCCTTAGCCGGCCCACAACAATGGAGTGGTCTACCGTATCAAAAGCTTTGGCCAAGTCAATAAAAATAGCAGCACAACATTGCTTAGAATCAAGGGCAATGGTGACATCGTTTAGGACCTTTAAGGTTACAGTGACACATCCATAAACTGAGCGGAAAACAGATTGCATACCACAGAGAATACTATAGACATCAAGAAAGCCAGTCAGTTGATTATTTACAAGTTTTTCCAACACTTTTGATAAACAGGGCAAAATAGAAATTGGCCTATAACAGTTAGGATCAGCTTGATCTCACCCTTTAAATAAAGGATGCACCGGGGCTGCCTTCCAAGCAATGGGAACCTCCCCAGAGAGGAGAGACAGGTTAAAATGTCAGAGATAGGCTTGGCGATAATAGGGGCAGCAACCCAGATGTTTTTTTGGGGTCAAGTCTAAGGAGCTCTTTTAGCACCTCGGACTCAGTGACTGCCTGTAGGGAGAAACTTTGTAGCGGGGCAGGAGGGAAAGAGGGAGGAGCCTCGGGGCTAGTCGCATTAGAAGGGGTGGGAGATGAGGACATTTTGGACGGGCAAGGAGGCATGGCTGAGTTAAATAGGAATCCTGACTTAATGAAGTGGTGATTAAAAAGCTCAGCCATGTGCTCCTTGTCAGTAACAACCACATCATCAACATTAAGGGACATGGGCAGCTGTGAGGAGGAGGAGGGTTTATTCTCCAGGTCTTTAACCGTTTTCCAGAACTTCTTGGGGTTAGACCCACAGAGAGAGAACTGCTCCTTAAAGTAACTAACTTTGGCCTTTCCGGATAGCCTGAGTGCACTTATTTCTCATTTGAGAATTATTTATTTTAGCTTTTATTTCTTTCATCACATTCCCAGAGTGTCAGAAGTTTACATACACTAAATTAGTATTTGGTAGCATTGCCTTTAAATTGTTTAACTTGGGTCAAACGTTTCTTCCACAAGCTTCCCACAATAAGTTGGGTGAATTTTGGCCCATTCCTCCTGACAGAGCTGGTGTAACTGAGTCAGGTTTGTAGGCCTCCTTGCTCGCACATGCTTTTTCAGTTCTGCCCACAAATGTTCTATAGGATTGAGGTCAGGGCTTTGTGATGGCCACTCCAATACCGTGACTTTGTTGTCCTTAAGCCATTTTGCCAGAACTTCGGAAGTATGCTTGGGGTCATTGTCCATTTGGAAGACCCATTTGCGACCAAGCTTTAACTTCCTGACTAATGTCTTGAGATGTTGCTTCAATATATCCACATAATTTTCCTTCCTCATGATGCCATCTATTTTGTGAAGTGCACCAGTCCCTCCTGCAGCAAAGCACCCCCACAGCATGATGCTACCACCCCCGTGCTTCACGGTTGGGATGGTGTTCTTCGGCTTGCAAGCCATCCCCTCCAAACATAACGATTGTAATAATGGCCAAACAGTTCCATTTTTGTTTCATCAGACCAAAGGACATTTCTCCAAAAAGTACGATCTTTGTCCCCATGTGCAGTTGCAAACCATAGTCTGTCTTTTTTTATGGCAGTTTTGGAGCAGTGGCTTCTTCCTTGCTGAGCTGCCTTTCAGGTTATGTCGATATAGGACTTGTTTTACTGTGGATATAGATACTTTTGTACCTGTTTCCAGCATCTTCACAAGGTCCTTTGCTGTTGTTCTGGGATTGATTTACACTTTTCGCACCAAAGTACGTTCATCTCTAGGAGACAGAACACGTCTCCTTCCTGAGCAGTATGACGGCTGCGTGGTCCCATGGTGTTTACATTTGCTTACTATTGTTTGTACAGATGAAAGTGGTACCTTCAGGTGTTTGGAAATTGCTCCCAAGGATGAACCAGACTTGTGGAGGTCTACAAATTTTTTTCGGAGGTCTTGGCTGATTTATTTTGATTTTCCGATGATGTCAAGCAAAGAGGCACTGAGTTTGAAGGTAGGCCTTGAAATACATCCACAGGTACACCTCCAATTGACTCAAATGATGTCAATTAGCCTATCAGAAGCTTCTAAAGCCACAACATCATTTTCTGGAATTTTCCAAGCTGTTTAAAGGCACAGTCAACATAGTGTATGTACATTTTTGACCCACTGGAATTGTGATACAGTGAATTATAAGTGTAATAATCTGTCTGTAAACAATTGTTGGAAAAATTGCTTGTATCATGCACAAAGTAGATGTCCTAACCGACTTGCCAAAACTATAGTTTGTTAACAAGAAATTTGTGGAGTGGTTGAAAAACAAATTTTAATGACTCCAACCTAAGTGTATGTAAACTTCCGACTTCAACTGTACATGTACATTGAGATGCATGCATACTTGCCAGGCTCGTGCACGTGTTTACATGGTTCTGTGTAGGCTTCAGGTGATAGAAATCTGAACAGACTACCAGTGCTTTGAAAAGTTGATGTAATTATACTTTCCTGTGCATATATTGTCTTACATTCCTACCGCCAAAAGAAGGAACTGCATGGACAACCAGTAAAGTGGGTAAAATAAAGTAAAGTGCGTTAAAATATAATTGTATCCAACATTCTGGCGTGTAGAGGTCGTGAGAGGAAACTTTCCTGATTCAAACCCTAATTTTTGCCCGACATTGAATTCAATACAATTATCAGGACTGTCCAGAAGGCCTCAAAACCCAAATCATTTTCTAAACATTGTAACATATTTGGCAGTCTATCCTCCTTGATCAACAAGGCCATGTCATGCACCTATGTTACTTTTTGTCAAATACGTTTTTTACAGTATTACAGAGTATCAACTTAATGTTGCGTGGCAGTCAAAATTGTTATGCCATCACAATGTTATGATGTTGTAAGCAAGGACCAGCAGGCAGACTGATATGTGCTCTAAAACATGTATCTAGTCGTCTTAGCAGCTCCTTTATTTACATTTGGTCATAGAAATGTGGTCATGTTACCACAGTAACACCTGGAGTTTGCTTAATTAAGATAGTTAGCTAACACAGATGTCGTCATTCACCAATCACGCTAGCTATAATAACATTGTAATAACAATGTCACGTAGGCTTATGGTCTAACAGCTGCTGTGTGTGTGGTCTTTATGATTTCCATTTCTCTGTCTAAACACAGGGGCATGTGGTGTTGCTGTGGGATATCCTCTTGATACAGTAAAGGTAAGCGTTTTGATAATGTGTTTTATTGAAGCGGAGACATAAAGTACATACCTAAAGATGCTGCCATGAGCCTTATTCTGGTGAAGACACAGCTCTTGATAGGCGGAACTCTTTCTGACGTTGACAGGTCAGGATACAAACTCAGAAGCAGTTCACTGGGATATGGCAGTGCTTCATAACAACGTTATCTAAAGAAGGGGTGAGTGTCAATCTTTTCTGTCATAAAGCTGTCCTAATCAGTTGGTTCATCAGTCACCTTATCTTATTGTCTAAACTGAGAAGCACGCTGACCCACCCTCCTCTCTCTCCTGTACCTCCAGGTCCATGGCTTCTTCAAGGGGATGTCCCTGCCTGTTACCACGGTTTCCATGACTTCCTCTGTGGTGTTTGGGACGTACAGGAACTGCCGTCAGTGTCTCAGTCAGCTGAGGGGAGGACCAGGAACCCCAAACACCAAACTAGAAATCTTCCTCTCTGGCCTGGCCGGGGGTGTGGCTACGGTGAGGAGTTCTATTTCTGAGGATAGTTATTATTTTGTTGTTGTTTTACAGAATGAACCTTCACAGGATGCACTCATTGTGATTGTATGGCCATTGTATTTACGTTCTAAGGGAGGACAATGTCATATTATCCACACTTGGACCTTATTGTTCACCCTGCTACCATCTAGAGGGCGGAGACAGTACAGGTGCATCAAAGCTGGGACCGAGAGACTGAAAAACAGCTTCTATCTCTAGGCCAACAGACTGTTCAATTGTCACCACTAGCCGGCCTCCGCCCATTACCCTGCCTTGAACTTAGTTACTTTTACTAACCGGCTACCACCCGGTACTCTACCCTGCACCTTAGAGACTGCTGCCCTATGTACATAGTCATTGAACACTGGTCACTTTAATAATGTTTACATACTGTTCTACCCACTTCATATGTATATACTGTATTCTAGTCAAGGCTCATCCTATATAACTACTGCTGTACACACCTTTTCTATTCATATACTGTCCATAATGTTTATACACACCATCATATACATATATATTTATATTTCGGACTCTGACATTGCTCGTTCTGATATTTCTTAATTTCTTTCTTAATTTATTGAGGAACTGTGTGTAATGTTTTGTACTGTTAGGTATTACTGCACTGTTGGAGCTAGAAACCTGCGATAACATCTGCAAAGTATGTGTACGCAACCAATAACATTTTATTGGATTTATTGACATTATTTGGCTTTAAAATATGGTAGTCCTGTTACAGTGTAATTAGTGAGTAACTGCCAACCTGTATGTGAATTCACTGACTGTCCCGTTTCCTTATTCTGGTCTCTCAGGTGACAGTGATGTCACCAGGCGACATAGTGAAAGTCAGGCTGCAGTGTCAGACAGAGTCCATGCGAGCCAGAAAAGGGGCGAACTTGCCCAAACCCAAGTACCGCGGCCCCGTCCACTGTCTCCTGACCATCGTCAGAGAGGAGGGGGCGCTGGGGCTCTACAGGGGAGCTCTGCCTCTCATGCTGAGAGACGGACCGTCCTACGCCACTTACTTCCTGACTTACAGCACACTCTGTGAGTGGTTCACCCCGACTGGAAAGAAGGGACCAGGTGGGTGAGATTCTATTGGTCCAAAGCGTGGGCTTCAGTACTCAACAGGATGCAACGTTACGTAAAAAAAAAAACGTTGCCGCCCTATGAATGTGTTCTAGTCTACAAATGGTTAAAGTAATTATTGTTGTAGTTTATAAATAGAGCATTTAACCCTAATCTCTATCTCTTGCGATTCTCAGAGTGGACAGGGGTGATGCTGGCCGGCGGGTTGGCTGGTATAACCGGCTGGACAGTGGGTACGCCCATGGATGTGATTAAGGCCCGCCTCCAGATGGACGGAGCCAGGGATATCAAGAGATACAAGGGCTTTGTCCACTGCATCACAGAGACAGTCAGGGTGGAGGGGTCAGGGGTGTTCTTCAGGAGCTTGGGGATCAACTGTCTACGTGCCTTCCCTGTCAACATGGTGGTGTTTGCTACCTTCGAACTCCTGGTCGGCTTCCTCAGAACACAGCCTGACGCTATAGAACCCCCCACACTGCTTCCTCAGAACACAGCCTGATGCTATAGAACCCCCCACAGCTGTCTGTCTGTCTGTCTGTGTTTGTCTGTCTGTCTGTCTCTCTGTGTCAGTCTCTGTTTTTCTGTCTGTCTGTCTGTGTCGGTCTCTGTTTTTCTGTCTGTCTGTCTGTCTGTCTCTCTGTGTCGGTCTCTGTCTCTCTGTGTCTGTCTGTCTGTCTGTCTGTCTGTCTGTCTGTCTGTCTGTCTGTCTGTCTGTCTGTGTCTCTCGCTCTCGCTCTCTCTGTTCAGTAGAGGGGTTAGATCAGTGGTCACCAACCGGTCAATCGTGATCGACTGGTCGATCTCCAAAGCATCTCTAGTCGATCTCCAAATATTTATGTAAAAAACCCAACGCTAAAGCTTTGCAATCCTATTTTGTTTTGTATTCCTCTTGTGCAGTTGGCGGTAGGTGCACCCGATTCAGCTGCCCTGCATGCCGGGTGGCTGAAGTGTTCAGATTTTGAACCATTTCATGTGTCTGAAGGTACAAACTCTGCCTTCCCAGCGGGCCCAGAGAGCAAATCAAGTGCACTATAGGCCTACCGCTGACCAATCGGATGGGTCAGAAGACTGTGTCTACAGTAATGTAGCAGGCATAAAAGAAAGCTACAGCAAAGTTTTTACTGTGAGATTTAAAAACATTTAAATCCTTGACTAGAGAGAGACTGTCAACGAATACAGCAAAGAGCGTCTGTTTTATGACTGAGTTTATGTTTAAGTTCTTACACAGCACATACACGCAATAAACGTGCGTTCTTTGTACTTGCACTTGTGCTACAACCAGCACTGCAGCTGCAATGAATGAGTAGGAAAGTGTATCGATAGGCTTACTTTATTACTGTTACCGGCTTGGGTCTTTCTCAATATCAAGGAATATTTAACTTTCTCTGGTCATAGGATTAACAACATGAATTTCTGTATGAGGCTGAAATAACGCGGTGCGACTCGAGTTTCGCCATCAGCTGGAAGATGGTGTCCCTTTTTGGTCAGTGTCAGTGGAGGAAAGGGAGAGCGGAGGGACGTTGAGAGGCGGACCCTCAGTCTGCTGCTCTCTCCCTCCGCTGAGACTGACCATCAGATGCAGGCACCATCAGCCCAGTAAAATAAAAAGCACATTATATTAATGTATTCTAACTCAGCTGTGCCTCACAAGTAATACAACAACGGATCTATTACCTGTGTGATCATATAGCCTACCTCAAATATTCTAATATTAAATATTTGTTAATGGTCCGAACAAAAATGCATTTGCTGGGCAATTCAAGTAAAGCCAATATGCAGTGATAATGTATTGGGGCCTATAGCCTACTGCACAAACCTCATTGCTACAGTACTGTTTTTAATAGCTTAATGTTGCATAGGATTACGTTTTTTCAGTCATGTAAAAAAGATCTGAGCGGTAGATCTCGGTTTGCGTTTTGACTCAGAAAGTGATCTTGACTCAGAAAAGGTTGGTGACCACTGGGTTAGATGATATGCACATGCTTTTCTGGGCTGAGTACTCAACGGGTGGACCACTCGGGCCTCACTGTCTACTGACTTTCATTGTTACCCCTTAACCTGGGAAGCCAGGTGGGTTGGACACTTAAGCAATAAGGCCTAAGGAGGTGTGGTATATGGCCAATATACCACGGCTAAGGGTTGGTCTTAAGCACGACGCAACACGGAGTGTCTGGACACAGCCCTTAGCCGTGGTATATTTGCCATATGTCACAAGCCCCCAAGGTGCCTTATTGCTATTATAAACTGCTTACGAACTTAATTAGAGCAGTTCAAATAAATGTTTTTTGTACCCGTGGTATACGGTCTGAAATACCACGGCTGTTAGCCAATCAGCATTCAGGGCTCAAACCACCCAGTTTATAATGGTTAATAAGTACTGAGAAATGATCAATACCAGGGAGAGTACCAGGGAGAGACGACAAATAGCTTGACTGTGACCCTGAAGGACAGGAGTTTTTCCACTACTGGTCTTCGCAACTCTTGCCTCTCCTCCCCTGTAGCTCAGTTGGTAGAGCATGGCGCTTGCAATGCCAGGGTTGTGGGTTCGATTCCCAATGGGGACCAGAATGGAAAATGTATGTCGCTCTGGATAAGAGTGTCTGCAAAATGATATAAATGTAAATGTCTGTCATCAAAGTAGAGAAAGATAAGCTTAGGCAAGCTGGCAACTAGCAAGCTGAACACTACGTGACCGTTTTGTAGGCACTTCTCTACTTGAATCAATTGTATTTGTGTTTATTTAGCATTTTATCAATACGCTGCAAAGTACACAGTTTAAAAAGGATTGTTGATTGAGGCTAAAATGACTGCAGGAGCAGTAATGGTGGTATGACTACGGGGACTGGAGAGAGTGGTATGACTACGGGGACTGGAAAGAGTGTAATATAATTGCTTCTATATTGTAAAGCCATTCAATGCGGTGTTGGTCACTGAGAATATTTTACTGTTCATTATATTTTCTGTGTGTGTGTGTGTGTGTGTGTGTGTGTGTGTGTGTGTGTGTGTGTGTGTGTGTGTGTGTGTGTGTGTGTGTGTGTGTGTGTGTGTGTGTGTGTGTGTGTGTGTGTGTGTGTGTGTGTGTGTGTGTGTGTGTGTGTGTGTGTGTGTGTGTGTGTGTGTGTGTGTGTAATTTATTTGAGATATTTATTCTGAAACTAAAAGTTGTACATTTGACTTTGGGAAATGTATTATGGGCAGAATGTGTATGAAATGCACCAAATAAATGGGCTGGTGGATGTAGTCACTGAAGAGTGGATGTGCTCACTTACTCTATCAATGGCAGAATATAACACTGCTCAGCATAATAGCAAGCTGAACAGTAGGTGTCCTTTTTGAATCAATTCTATTTGTAGTTACCAGCTGTCATAACTGTAAATGACACCTGTTATGACAATGTTGGAACAAGGTTATGTAGCCTGAAGGTTTCAACTGCAGTTTAACCCAGCTATGGTTTCAGAATAGAACTCTAGGTACATCTAGTGGAAAGAGGAGACATCAAAAGTTAATAATAAATAATTTGGGGGTTGCTTATAGACATGTTGGTTGTTAAGCAACAAAAACGAAGTGTGTGCAAAACAATTCCCCACAAGGCAGTTTCTTGTCACCAATCTGACCATCCAGAATCACAACAACAGGAGCCCACATCATTTTCGTGACGTTGTCAGCCAGTCCATCTATATTCATGACCAGGGTTAAGTGCACAGTGACATTATCTTTATCTGCTCCGGTATTCTAACCAGCCACCTTTCGGTTACTGCCCAACGCTCTAACCTGGAGGCTACCTGCCGCCCCAGAGCAGTTCTGAGCTTCATCACTCCACTGGGGCAGTTCTGAGCTTCATCACTCCACTGGGGCAGTTCTGAGCTTCATCACTCCACTGGGGCAGTTCTGAGCTGATGCAGAACAAGACGTCTTCCCATTACATTTGACTGATCTGGTCCTCTGTGCATTTACCATAGCACACACACGTCACTCTCTCTAATAATAATAATAATAATATGCCATTTAGCAGACGCTTTTATCCAAAGCGACTTACAGTCATGTGTGCATACATTTTTACGTATGGGTGGTCCCGGGGATCGAACCCACTACCCTGGCGTTACAAGCGCCGTGCTCTACCAATTGAGCTCTCACACACAATACACACACACACAACATCACCCTCCTCACACTACCCTCCCATGAGTGATGAGTCCTGTATCAGACGTGAGCCAAATATTTCCAAGGGCCATTTGACTCTGTGAAACTCCAACAAGACATTTAACCAGGTGGCAAAAGATGAACCAGAGGTGAACATGTTGGTCTGATAACTATAGGAGAGTGTAGAAGCTCAGCGGATGAGGCTGATATTTAGTCCGGCTAATGTTAGATTATAATAGAACAGTCTCAAATGGTGATTGCTACTGATTATCTCAGATTCCTGGGCCATAATCTGCTGCAGTTGGTACACTACCTCCCTCTACTGGCCACATATGGAACTGAGCCAAACATCAACCACCCTCACTGTTGCTTAATATTCACACACAATGCCTTAAATCATGCAGCCTTTCATTCTAGCAACTTTCAGGGAGATGATAGATCTTTTGTTTAGTAAAATAATCAAATAAATCACATTATCCAGAACTGATGTGGAGAGGGATAACCTTTGAAAACAAGGTTCTCGACTTGTTTATTTCCCACAAACATGCTGAACAAACGTGATCACATGCACACACACACACACATGCATGCATGCACAGGCACACACAAAAGGCATGTATGCACGCGTGCAAACACACACACACAAATAACTCACACATCACTGAACGCTTTGAACTTGAAGGACAGTCATAGAATAATCATAGCAATGTGTCTTCAAGTCAAAGCAGGAGACGCATCTATCCTGTCCTCACCTGAACTGTCAGTAATATGAACAAAGAGGGATGGGGGGATGAATAAACAAACAGAATAGGTGAATGGAGGTCATCTGAGGCGAGCCCCAGAGAAGCCTGTACAGCCAGTGGAATGGGCTATACATTAAACCGTCGCTAATTTGTTCTAACAACCAACTAGATGCCAATCACCATAAAGATCTGTGCACATTTGGGTATAAGGGCTTCTCCTGGAAACTGGGCTTTCTAACAAATACATAGTTTATGAAATTCTAGGAATTACCGACAGTGTATTGTGAAACAAGAAAAACCCTCAATGTTTCCTTTGTTCTCTGCTCATAATTAAACCCTGCATGTATTTTCCCCTTATGCAACAAAAATGGCTTCTATAGGTCTCACTGAGCTAAGTTAGAAGCTGGCTAACTATGCACCACGCTACTTTTGGAAAGGGCTAGGGGGTGGGGGATGGGGATGGGTTAATTTGGAACCTATTGAAAATGTGGTAATGTTCAAGTCTCCACTTGCATTCCCTGTTGCTATGGCCAAAGGTAGGATGCCACATCAGTGGAGAAGAGTGACCTAATCAGAGGCCATTGTGGTGCAGATGTACAGACTTTCATTACCGCTA